CCATCTTTTATTACACACAGAACGCGCATTTAAAATTAAAATTCTACGTGTTTTAAGATTTTTCCCTATAAATAAACCTTAGTGTGCACCGTGCTGTATATATTTTCCTTATTTATTATTTTACTCAATATAAATCTTTTATCGTAAACCACTTCTAAAAATTTCCATTCCAAGTAATAATTAGAACTTATTCAATAGACTAGCATCACCATCTATACAATTTTGATTTCACTACATTTTCTGTACCTACTTCATCGAATCGAAGCTCTTATAGAACAGAAACAATAGATATTGAAACTAATATTACTTGGATTCGCCAATGACATTTAACTCCTTACCGACTGTACAAATTCTCTCCCATTTATAACGTTTAGTATGCGAGACTTTAGAGGTATTCAAATCCTCCTAATTATGAGTTATTGTATCTCTTTTGTCCCGCTGTCTCTAGTCAGAGCTTGTGAGAACAATAGTTAACCACGCTTTGGTCTTTTCGTAGCATTCCAATTAGCTTTGCAGTAATAGTGGGAGATAACTAACATACCCTACCGTTACTTTTACTTCTCAATGCTCCATTTATCGTGGTTGGGTATTGTTCGTTATTTTGTTTGAATTACGAAAACGTTACCGGTGTGTACGTGATTTAGTTAGTCTTCATTTTAAACAAGCTCTTAAAAAATATTGAAAGGAAAAGAATGATCATCTGCACAACTGTATGAAAAGTTGGAAACACCCGAGGGCATAGAAAGGTTATACAGCATTGCTAAAGCAAGGGATAAATTACCAAAGGACTTGACCCACGTAGGGCAGATTAAGAGTGCGGATCTAAGAGTTCTAACTAATCCAATTATGCCAAGAGACGGATATGGTTGTAACGAATACACTTTTTAAATTACATCCAAGAAGACTTTATACATGAAAAACACCCGGTGATACCCCAGGGAAAATCATAAGAAACCAAATTGATTTTATCAATATAAACAAAAGGTTTTTGTTGAAAAATTCTATCTTCTCAACAAAAACATATCCAGGCACAGATGTCTTCTTAGATCATAGTCTATTGGTTGCAAATATGAACATACCTACGACTCAAAATAATTCATAATAAAATGAGGCCAAAATAGATATAAAACTACTAAAAGAAAATTTACTGGAGAAATAGACATTCTGTCTCCGGTTTCCATACATAATGGAGCTTTGCCTATTTTAAAAATTTTAAAGTGCTTGTCCTTCATTTTATTCTTGTTAGATAGGCCACAATTGACAAAATGCCCTTAAAGATGCTCTGGGGAGCGAAAGTACTTGGGCAAGATTAAATTAATAAAACTGTGCTTGATATCTGCCTTTTATTTGATTCAAAGTTTATTTATTCGAGCATTAAACCTTCTTCTTCTTAACGTGCCCTTTCAAGTCCCCTTGACGTTGGCGATTAACATAGCGAAACTGTCTCTGTCTCGAGCTATTCTAAATAGTTGATCAGCTTTCTTTATTCCTGTCCACTCAATAATATTCTTCAACCAAGAGGCCTGCTTTCTACCAATTCCTCTGCGTCCTTCGATTTTACCCATCATAATAAGTTAAAGAATATTATATCGGTCTCCCCTTACTACGTGTCCAAAATAGGTCATTCAATAGGTCGTTAAATAGCATTCAACCATCAGGACTTAATGGTAAGGATATGAGACTGATCTCAAACTTACATTTCCAACAAAAAATAACAGTACGATTCGAAACTGAACTGTTCGAGATCTTCACAGTCGAAAAAGGAGTTAAGACAGTGTTGCATATTGTCACCGGCATTATTTAACATATACTCTGAAAACATCTTTAGAGAGGCCTTGGATGAATCAGAAGATGGGATTGCCAACTTATAAATTACATTACTGGCAGATAGTGCGCAAGGGCTCCAAAGGATAATGGATAACAAATGTTGTAGAAGCATGTAATAAATACGGCCTTAAACTAAATTGCAAGAAGACAAAAATAATGATCATTAGTAAGAACACCGGCATAAACGCCCAAATTATAAGTAACGATACACCGTTAGAAAGGGTGGAAAAATATACTATTTGGGCTGTAATATTAAGGAAACTTCAGTTCACAGCTACGAAATAAAAACTTTTTAAAACTTTTTAGAAAAAGCCAGAAGCTCTTTCAATAGCCTTAGGCAGATTACGTCTTTAGTGTCCTCCTCAATGGAGAAGAAAGCTGAGGCCTTGCAGAAGATGCCATAAAACGATTGGAGGCATTTGAAATATGGTGCTACCGACGTATGTTAAGAAAAAATTGGCTTACTTGGGCCATATCATGCGTAATGATAAATACCTACTTCTACAGTTGATTCTACAGGACAAGGTTGAGGTAAGAGAGGGCCTGAACGTAGACGTACATCCTGGCTGTACAATATTAGGAAATGAACTGGTCTAACATCAAATGATCTATTTCGAGCTGCTGTGATACTGTGAAATAGTTTTAAGAACCGATGTTGAAATAGAGCAAAGGTGGCAGGAGTACTTTAGAAAGTTGCTAAATGATGAACACCAGAGGAGAAACAGATCTTGCGGGTTCTAAAATAAGAATTTAATACCAGATATAGCGAGAGATGAGGTTGTTTAGTTATTGAATATGATGTAGACTGTTAAGGCAGTGGCATCTAATGAAATTTCTGTGAAAGTTTTAAAAGGCTTTAGGAGAGGAAGGGGTTAATATCTTGTAACAAATGATAAGTAGGATATATAAGGAAAAAGGGATGTCCAATGTATAAAGAGTGTGATGGTATCATTGCATACAGATACAGGGGACATACAGGACTGAAAGAACTATAGAGAGATAAAGGTAATGTCGCACAGGATAAAACTTTGGAAGAGAGATGTAAAGCGAAGGTTAAGGAGAGAGACTTAGAAAGGAAAACAATAGTTTGGGTTTATGTCAGGAACGACGACAACGGATGCCTTGTTTGTTTTGAGAAAGTTGATAAAGAAATTCAGCGAGAAAAAAAGATATTTCTTTTCTTTTGTCTTTAAAGCAGATTCAGGAAAAGAAAATGAAGGCAACTGAAATGAAAATGTTACTGTGGATATTGGGTAAGACTAGAAGGGACGGAATTAGGAACAACTCGATTAGGGAAAGAGTTGGAGTGCCAACAGTCTCTAAGAAGATTCAAGAACAAAACTGCAATGGTTTGGCCTTGTCAGACGTAGAAATAAAAACTATATGGGATAAAGGATAGAGCTGTTAGAAGTTGATGGAAGAAGAGGTAGAGGAGCACAGAGACGAAAATAGAAGGAAGAATGGTTTAGGTGAAGAAGACTTTATGGACAGAAATTAGTGACGACGAAGAGTAAGAAACAGCGACTCTTAAAAAAGGGAAAGGCTGAGACAAAAGAAGAAAAAAGAAAGGACTAAGAGTATTAAAAATATTGACCTTGCAGTAATATTATTAAGTTGCAATAAAAGTTTAAATATACAACTACAAGACAAATGAAATTTAAGACGTAATAAGTGAAAGAAGAGAATTTAAGAACACAAATAACCGATACCATTAGTTCTTCTTCTTGCATTCAGCGTCTCTTGTGGAGGTTAGTAATCAACATGGCTGTTGGCACTTTCGACACTACTACCTGAAATAATTCGACCGATGTCACAAAAAATATTTCATGAAGGTTTCGCAGTCAATAAATTTTTCTACGTCCCACTCCTGGAATGAGTATCATGAATAAATGGAGGATGCACAAAAAGCCTATTAATCATAGTATAACCGGTTTTCAACAGATGCTTTCATGCAAAAAAATATCGACGTGTCTCAATTCAGGTCCCTTGTCATATAAGTGATGTTCTAAGTTTGCTCTCAGTACGTGTGGAAGATATTTGTGTCTAGGGAGAGCGCCCACCAAACTGGCATGGCAAGTGGCAAGTAGCAAGTAATACACATCTAGCATGTTATACCCATGACCCGTATAAATGTAACCAATGAAAACGAATGATTCAGCGCTCACCAAAATGACAGTGAGGTCATTCATTGTAATCATTCGTTTCCATTGGTTACATTTTAAATAACATGCTAGACGCGTGCTACTTGCTAGTTGCTACTTGCCACGCCAGTTTGGTGGGCGTTCTCACTAACACTTAACTCAGTACTTTACGTGTTTACTTCCTAATTATAATAATAAAATTTATTTATATAAGTCATACTAGTTCAAATTTGTAAGAGGTTGATGTTTTTGAGTTGACACTTGCAATGAAGCAGAACATTTTAATAGTGCAACTGTCGTGTCAAAAACGAGATTTTAGATGAGGTATTATTTGACATATAATCCCATCTTGAATAATTTACAGAGTGGCATCAAAAATTTTATTAATTAAGTTTGATGGTTTAGAAAATATATTCGAGAGTGAAGCAGGCTTTATACAGGGTTGGTCACTCAAAAGAGTTCACCCTGAAATTTGGCAATATTTATTGGATTTTGTGAAAATGATAAAACAGTTAGATTTTATTCTAAAGGGGCCATCTTTTAATGGTATAGATATCTGTCAATTATCAGCCCCCTTCTTTTTAGTACCCCAACCTTAAATTTCAAATAGGGAATATACCCTACCCGTATTGCGAAAAAGTATCAGTTTATTAAGTGTAACACCTTTTAAAAACTAAACGTAACGCCTATGTTATGCTGGTGTCAATTTCTGGCCACGTAAAAAACTACATTAAAATGAAATTTGCATTAAAAGAAAACTTTATTTTAATTAATTTTAAATTAATAAATTCATAATTTTAAATAGTTTAGTCATCAGCTATAACTATTTACTTAAATGTCAAAAATAATATTCATCAACGTCAATACAATAATAAAGTCGCTATTCGAAATTACGAAGAAGGGGGCATTTTAGGGAGCATATCTAACTTATCAATCTCGGAAAGGACCCAGCTTATTTATTTTTATTTCAGAAGTTTATGTATTATCATATTAGTATTAGTTATTAAAATATAAAAATCATATCATACTTACATGCATATCTAACTTATCAATCTCGGAAAGGACCCAGCCTACAGAGCCGTCTCCACTACAAACTAAAATTCGGAATGGATCGAAGTGTCTAAAAAGTTTAAGGCCCAATCGCGGACCCGTAGATATGAGGTCAAACACCTGCGCAGGATTAAGTAACTGTTTGAACTTTCGAAGGAATTTGACACCCTGGTTATCACCTATAAAAAAATTAGAAGCTTAGAACCAATTTTATGAAATGAACTATATATAATAGGGTAACGGGTACAGTTGTTGGCCGATCACTAGTGATTGGCCACTTGCACAAAAATCCGAAATATTAAGATTTTTAGAAACAATAACGAAATAAATTTGTTTGCATTTAAATTTGGCAACATTGCTGTATATTTAGTCCAACTATCATTTCTCTCAGTTAATATTATCTAGTTGTTACGGCGCGTGTTGTTTAAAGCTTAACAAGTGCATTCAGTTTTAAGAGTTTTTTAATTACGAGGTAAGTCATTTTGGCTTACTAACTGTAACGTGTAATAAGAATATATTTTTTGTCCAAATTTGTATTTATAAAATTACAATTGTTTTAGTTTTTATCAAGTTAGTGCTAATGTGGACATATTGAATCAAATTTGGAACGTCCTTATTGTAGCTAACATTATTACTAATAAGTGATTTTTGTTTTTAGAATCAAAAATACCAAATATTCGGAAAGATAAAACGTATCATAAAGAATATACAAAACAAGATCTTCAGTCTGCTTTCCAGGCCATAAAAAATGGCATGAGCCAACAAAAAGCCGCTGAATAATTTAATATGCCAAGAGCAACATTGCAGTTTAGAGCAAGTGAAGAATTTAATGAAACAACTACCCTTGGTAGAGAATCGCTTAAAGCATTGGATCATAACATGCCAAGACAAAGGATACAAGACTCGGTTAAATGTTTTCTTGACGCAAGTCCACGTGCCAATTCTTTTACTGACAATCGGCCTGGAAGAGGTTGGTATAGATCCTTTTTAAAGCGACACCCAGATTAGTGAGAGAACTCCAGCAGCAGTAATGGCAGCAAGTTCAGTTGTCTCAAGAGAGATGTAAAAACATGGTTCACCGGTGTTCAAGAATACTGGTATCGTAAAGGTTACATTGATATCCTTCAAGACCCTTCACGTGTTTTAAATGACGATGAAACCTGTTTCCTCTTGTGTCTCAAAAATAAACGAGTATTGGCTGTAAAGGAAAGCAAACATGTATATAAAATAGAGCATCACTCTAAAGTTAATTTGGCGGTTATGTTTATCTTGCAACATCTGGAGAAATATCAGCACCAATGATTATTTACCCTTATAAACGAATTTCTAGCAATATTTTAAATTCCATTTCACGAGAATGGGGCATAGGATGTGGCGATACGGGATGGATGAAGAACGAAAACTTCTATGAATACATAGAAAACGTCTTATATAAGTACCTAGTTGCAAAAAACACTAATTTTACAGTCATTTTGTTCGTTGATGGATATAAAACTCACTTAACCATTTAAATCAGTGACATGTTTAAAGTACAAATTATTTTAGTTTCCTTATATTCCAATGCAACCAGAATTATACAACCCGCAGATATTGCTGCATTTAAACCATTAAAGGCAAATTGGAACCGGGCAGTATTAAAATTTAGACGCGAAAACCCGAACTCGGTAATTACCAAAGAGAATTTTGCATTAGTACTAAACACAGCCATTAGTAAATTAAAACCAGATTCCATAATTAATGGCTTTAAAGCATCTAGATTGTATGCATGGAATCCTGAAGCAATAAACTATTTTAAATGTTTAGGAAAGATCAAAGATCCACATAAAGGTATTAATCACACTATTTCTATGACAAAATCAATAACATATGAAGATTTTGTAGATACAGTTGGAGCCGCAAAAATATTAGAATTTCAAGGTTTCAAAGAACTAAGTGGAGATTCAAAATTGCTCTTTAATATATTTAATTTAATTCAAAATACCATAGATCTACCCACAATTTAGACTACAGAGGCAGTTGGAATCACAGATGATATACAAGATACCTCTATCATCACAGAAATCCATATATCGTCAGCTATTACACTTAACCCTGTAGGTGGCAATGAAATCATATGCAACTTAGAAGATATTCCTGTTATTATAGACAAAAATCTACTTTCGGATTTTCGAATTCAACTTTCAGAAAACGTTGATATTACATATAATATAAAATATGTCACAGAAGATACAATGACAGAAGGTATTCAATCGACATCCAATAATCTGCCTTTAGTTAATCAATACAACTCATTATCTAAAGAAATTGACACCTCAATCAACAAATTCTTTTTTTTTTGGCCAAAAACCCTGGAAAAAAAGGGCAAAAAGCAAACAGAAAGGTTGCCTTTCGTGCTCACTTCTACAGATCGTCAAAATGCAGAGAGGTGTAAAATTGAAGAAAAAGCAAACTAAGAAAAAATAAAATTAGAACGAAAACAAAATTGAATTAACGCAAAAGCAAACAATAAAAGTAAAAAAAGGGAAATCAAGATAATTTATACAATTAAAAGCACTGCTTTTAAAAGTGAAGTTAGAGTACATATACAAGATGTTGTACTCAAAGAATAACGAGTACTGTCACGAAACCAATTTGAGAGAATGTCACGAAAGCAAATGTACTAATTTGGAAACCAGCAAAGAAAAAGGTGCTGGTGAGCCGGCTAAAAGAAAGTTATTTTTTTAAACTGAGGGATATCCGGAACATTACCTCATTAGAAAATGTTTGCCACAAAATTCTGAGTTGAAATTCTGGTATAATCTACTAATAAAATGTTTTCTTGTCTTCGGGTCACTCAATCCTAATAGAAATACCTACTTTTGTGTTTGAAGTACGCCCCCTTTGAATAACTCCTTTTAATCAGTCAAATATACGAAGATTACATGCTCGCTTTAAAGCAGATGTTACCATTATACACGCTCAAGCAGATCCTAAATTAAACGTGATACAAAGGGTCGAAAATTGTTATGTGATTTTGTTCATCACTAAGCAATTCTGAAATCTACTGAACAATAATTTTTTGATAACTTATATGCTTATTTGGGGATTAATATTTTTAAAATTATCTCACATTATGCAGCAAAACTTGTAATTTCATTATACACAATAGATTATTTTGGACTTGAATGCAGTGATATTTTATTTATGTATTTGTATTTATCAAATCAAATGTTTTAAATTCGCATATATTTTGGTCAAACAACCAAGCAAAAAAAGCAGCTTTAAAACACAACCATGGATTTGAGTGTGTGTGTTTATGATTTTTTTTTATTTTGTTCAATTTTGTGAGACATCCTGTAGAGAATCCAAGATTTTTTTTTGTGACCACTTTGCAAATTTTAACGCTAATAAAAAGTTCCAATAGCCCTAAGTATTTTCATTGGCTTTTCTAAATAATGATCCCTTTTACGATGCAGTATATTATCCGCAAAGATTACCGCTATTCTCTGACTGTCTCGGTATAAAGGTGGACAAACTATATATGGTTATATTGTCACATATTTGTATATATTTTTTATTGTTATAATATAGATATTGTACTAATTATGACTTTTTGTTTCAGGGCCACCTACAAAAAAAATCAAAAAACACACAAAACGGCTTCGGCCACGAAAAAAATAAAAAATACTAACAAAAACCGGCGCAAGCCAACAAAAAAAAAACTTACAAAAAACCCCAAAAACGTGAGCACGTAGGGCCCAACCACTTGAGCACCAAGTCGCCGAACTGAGCCTAGCTCAAAGCGGAGACTGGAGGCCCAAGTAAGCAATTTTAGTTCGCGGATAAGCCACAGTAAGATAACAGGATTATAGCGACCATGGGTTATTCTGAGTTTTAAATTCGGTTAGGAAACCATTTTGGGGTTCTCTTGCCCAGGACTCCCATATGAAGAGCATTTAGCTGATAGTTGTGCTCCTATAGCGCATCAAACTGCTCTAGAGATGGTCTGAAGCATTGGAGCGTGGTGGAGTGACTCCTGTTTTTACTCGAGATAATACACGTCGCTCCAATGAATTGTTACACCCGAGCGTAATTCTTAGGGGTGAACATATCTCACAGGCAGGGTTTAATTAAATTGGAGAAATAGAGAAATATAATATGGAGAAATGGAGACATACAGATGAAAACAATTTTTAGTAAGTGCTTTTAGTTTGCAGTAATTTAGAAAGAAGTTCTATAGCTATATTATATTATCTTTGTTTTTGATTTAATTTAGATAACAGATTTTTATCCATATTTTAGAGTCGATTAATCATAAAGTGATATTTTACATTTAATTTTTTTTAAAATAAACTAAACTTTACCTGACTTAGAATTAACGAATACTAGAAGAGGGGAAGAAGCTTGGGGTCTAACAGCCTCCCAAGCTTCATCCTGAATAGAATGCAGAGCAGTGGGAGGCACTACGCTAACCCGTGCTGGACCTAAGGGACACCACGTTTCGATATGTGGCCTACATTGTGTGTGTACAGTCATTCGACACCACAGGCATCGCCAATCTTGTAACCTGAAACAAAACAGATAATATTAACGTTTATTATTATTTTATTAAGTAAGTATTATTGTATTTAGTAAAACATAATTATTTTTTTACTATTTAAATACTATTGCATGACTGCAGAGTTTAAATGCAACACAATCGCGTGATGAAATGCTATCTAGTGACATGTCAGACTTTTTTGCTTTATATGTCTACTAGAAAGTGTTTCATTAGTTTTCAGTTAATGCCCAGTTCAAAAATTAATTAAGGCGCATTTTTCTTTAATTATTGTTGCTTATAAATCCAAGCTCTGATTATAACTGATTTCGTTTTACTTAGCTCGTTTCGTTTTACTAAGATTCTCATTTTTTTTAATTCCTTAACTTACTTGAAACAATAAAAGAGAAGTTTTTGTATTTTTATTTTACTTTGTAGTTAGTCAATTTTCAATTAAAATCAATGATAAATTGAAATTCTACTGTTAGTTTATGTGTAACCGTTGAAAAAATTTGAAGTCCATTACTCAAAAATAATATTAAAAGAGATTGATGGATTTGCCTCTATTGTACCCGTGACAGTTATAAATGACTAAATGGTAATTACCTACGGAAAATCCTTTAAGGAATAAATATTTTTATTCTTGGAATATATGCAAAATAGAAGGAAAAGCAGTTACCATTTCTATCGGTATACATTTTTATTTTCTGAATAAAATGCCACATTTTCAGTGCAAATTTTTTTAGTAGTAAAATTAGTAGTAGTACATTTAGTAGAATGGCATAGGATGGAACAGTACGAATAGCACGAGATAAGTTACCAAATGACGAAGAAGTATTGGAAGACTAAGAAAAAGATGGTGTGATAATTTAAATAGTTTAGGAAGCTAATATTTTAGAAGAAATAGGCTTTAAAGTCTACATACGAGAAGGAAGAAGAAGAAGAAGAAACAGCTGATCTTTAGGACCCCGGTTATACTTATATCAAGCATGGAAGGCTGCAGTCTATTTATGATACGCCATTGTTAAAAGTCTCTATTACAACACATCAAAATTGCATGGAAACTCCATATTAACAAGTGAGAAGAGAGTTTCTAGCGCGGCACGTAGCAGCGCCTGCACGTAGTAGGCAACAAATACTAAAATATAAGTCCAACAACCAAAATATTTGGTGGCAATTTAAAAATAACATTTAATAAAAACATTTCATGATTACCTTCTGGAAGGAAATTACATTGACAAACTGCAGAAACAGTTATATGTTTTTTATCAAACCCAACAAAGACAAACTCTCTCATTTTCTGTTCGACCTATTTCTCTATTGTCTTGTATAAAAAAAATTTCAAAAGAATTATCAAAAATTTTTCCTTTAATTTTTAACGATAGAGTGTTTCTTCAAAAACGATTTGTAGAGGTTTTTATTAGATACAAGGATCTGTAAATTAAATCTTTTTGGAACCCTTGGTTTTTAAATGGGGTGAGTTTAAAGGACTCGAAAAAGATGGTGCTTGATCGTAAATCGTAATTTAGTGTAATCGAAAAGTGTAATTTTAGTCTTTAAAAAAGCTACAATTTGGTAATTTTTATTTTTTCATATATTCAGTATTGTCGGGCATATTTAAAAAAAGAAGGGTAAAAAATATGAAATTGTAAATCGTTTCTCGCTTTAAGCTGTACTTTTTTCTAAAACTAAGCATTTTTAATGGGTCAAACTTCTTGGACGTATTAACAATACATCTACAAAGGGAATTGCAGAAGGCTGAAGATCGATTTTAATTATGGGGGTGATTAGGGTGTTGTTTTGCTCGATTTTTTCGTAAAAAATGAGGTATTGACCTTATTTTTTTATGATAGGTCTATTTATGCTCTTTAAAAAAGGTTTTGTGAGTTTTCTTCCAAAAATGCATCATTTTCCCGATATTTGACTTTGAATCTTTCAAATTTGGCATTTGAAGAAAACCGCTGAACATTGATATTGTATTTGTAATTGTATTTGTCTTTTTAAAAGCTACAAATTTGTTCTCTACAATTTTTTTGATAAAATGCACCATTTTCGAGTTATTCGCGAGAAATCGATTAAAAACGTGGATTTTTTCGTCTAAAAGTTGTTACTTTCAATCGCGAATAACTTGAAAAATTTCATTTTATAAAAAAAATGTATAGGACATTTTTTGTTTAGAATCACTTTTCTAATCGAAACCTGTAGTTAAAACGTAAAAAAAAATTTCACCCCGGAGATGGGGTGGCAACCATCCCCTAGGCTTTGTTGCACTTTGGTTCGATATAGATTTTGATCCTTAGGCTATTACCTACCTTCTGTTAAATTTTAAGTCAATCCACGCCGCAGAAAAAAATTGCGAGGTGAAATGCTACATTTCCTGGACTATAACTGGTTTGACAGCATAATAAAATCGTAGATTTATGTGTAGCTTTTAATTTTTATGAGTTCAGATACCAGCAGCCCGCTGAAGTATGGGATTTTTTATAATATAATTATTTGACAATCTTTTGTTGGCCAACCAGCTACAGCAGAATTGAGCCGAAATACATTATATTCCTATGTTCCGAATTTATTTCGTTCAATCTATATATATATATATATATATATAGATATATATATATATATATATATATATATATATATATATATATATATATATATTGTTATGATGTGTTGTTTATGTATAAGCTATGAGTAAATTTGAATGATATATGTAAGTATAGGGTTTTTATCGCGATTCTCAAAGAATTAGTTTGTAAGTACTTTTTTAAATTATCTTTATTATAACTATTATGAAACAAACATATCTATCTAATATAAGCAATATCAATTTAAAACAATCTATCTAAAATTTGAAATTCTTACAATTATTAAATTATTAACAAAATTTGGTACCTTTCTGTCACTGAACGCCTAAAGTTTTTCCAAAATTAAAGTTATTGTCACCACTCGATATCTTCTTACTAAGCCTTAGTTATCCAACAATTTTAATATGTTTCTTCTTAATTATCTCCACTCACCATATAAATGGATAAATTTAAATCCTTGTAATTTCCATATAATGTACTTTCAAATATACTGGATCTTGTGGTTGTATTATTGAATGCTTACTTCAATGAATTAACTTCATACTGTCACTATATTACTGTAGTAATAATTAATCCCAACTGTATTAGACTTAATTAATTCATTTAACTTAATCAATGCCTTCTTCTAGCTAATAATCTCTTCATAACCTCATAAATTCTTCTTAATTCTTCTTTGTAATTAATAATCACATGTAACTGACTTAATAATCCTTGAATTATTAAATTCTTCAAACTAATTCACTTAATAATTGACTGTAACTTCTTGTAACTAAATTCTTGAATTCTAACTTTACTAACTAACTCACTTAACTGATCAGCTGATTGACTTTAACTGATAACTGATTAACTCCTCTAACTCATTAACTCAATTAATAATCTTCTTGTAACTAAATTCTTGAATTCAAACTTTTCTGACTGATTAACTAACTGATACTAACTGACTAACTCCTCTAACTGAACTCACTTTACTGACTCACTTTACTAACTGATTGATTATCTGCTCCAAATTACATGGTATTTATATATTTTTCCTGGTTCCAGAATAATCTAGCAATAAATAAGGTTCGAATCGTTCTATTTTTTCTATCTGAACATTCTGGAATAAATGGAATGGTTTTTGTGTCTGTAATGGACTATGCGAATTGACGTTTCTAGAACTTTCTTTGGTCTACATGTACAATTTAACTGACTTTAGGCTCTCCAGATCAGAATTACACTATTATATGTAACTTAAACAATTATATCAAATATATTATTACTATTTTACATATGTAATGATATTTTAAATTAACATTCCAAAAAAAATAAACTCTTTTTTGACTTTGACACTACAGTGTATATCTGGTTGCATATGGCTGACGTATATATTTATAATTATTAAAACAAAACTTTTTACATTTATTATATGCTAGATTCTTAAAAATACCCTCATATAATAATTTTTTTAATAATATTATCTAGTTTATAACTTATAAATTATGTCTTTAATTACTATTTAAATAAATTTATTAATTAACATTGTATATCTGGTTGTATATACACATGGCTGACTTAAATATACTTCTATGCTAATTTATTGAATTTTTGTTCTCATTACAATATATATATATATATATATATATATATATATATATATATATAGAAGGTCAACATAAGCATGGCGTAGGAATAATTTTAAATAAACAAATAAACAAATACGTTACGAATTTTGTTCCAATATCCGAGAGAATCATGCTCATTCAATTTGATTTATTTCCAACAAAAACCAACATATTTCAAATATACGCACCCACAGCAGACAAATCAGACGAACTAATAGAGGCTTTTTATTACAATTTAAGGAGAGTCCTAAGTAAGTTAAAAACCAATGAAGTAACGCTAGTTATGGGTGACTTTAATGCCAAAATCGGTAAGGGTAGTTATGGTGACCTAGTAGGTTCATGGGGTCTTGGTGAGCGAAATGAGAGAGGAGAACGCCTACTCATATTTGTTACGGAAGAAGAGTTGGTAATCACCAATACACTCTTCAAATTACCATACAGAAGGTTGTACACATGGCGCTCACCCGGTGATACGCCAGAAAATCTCGTAAGAAACTAGATTGACTAACCTAAGCTGGTGCAGATATTAAGTAAGACCATAACCCACTTGTTGCTAAGTTTCGTCTGAAATTAAAAAAAAAACCACAAACCTAATCCTATAAGAGATCTCAAACAGATAAGAGATGATGACATAAAGCCAGAAGTACGAAGTATATCTGAAGCACAACATATCTAAGAAGTAGTTAATGATGTTGACACAGAAATAAACTACTTGGAAAATATTGAGAACATTTAGTAAAATGATATAATTTTTCACAACCACCAAATTTATTATAAATTATAACTTTTATTCTTTATATTACTTAATTATACAACTTATAATGATTTTAAATTGTCAATA